GGGGGGAAGGGGTGCAACACTGTTCTATGTTATGAACAACACCACCCTACTGAAGAGGTGCCTCAGCCTCACATCAGACTCCACCCAAAATGGGAAAAGTATGTCACTTAAGAGTTACAACTTCAAAGCATTTTTCTCCGCCAACTTTCTTCATGCATCTTGAAAACAGCCCAACAAATTTAACAAACCCACCAAACGCTAGGCAACTAACACAGAAACTCACAGAATTCTCTGACGAAGATTACCGCAACTTGGAGGTTATTCAGCATCACTTACCTGCTGGGCTGTTTCAATCCTTTCATCCTCCATGCCGAGGATGGCAAACCCTTTCAACAGGACATCCTCTGTGGATTCTGGCACCGCAGCCGTCAGCGTAACAGTCAGAGACTGGGATGTGAGGCTGCACAAATCTTCGATTGGAAGCTGCTCACAAAAACCCACAAAACTTTCGTTAGGCAACTTCCTAAGAGTTAGTACATTCAGCTCAACTACAATAACACAATCCAAAGCATCAACTTTAGAAAACTACAGGCATCTACTTTTGAAGAAACAAGTGCAATGAACCTTTCATCCATCAATATGATAACACACCACCAACTACCACATCTATATATTCAGAAACACCTGGGGGTTTTTTTCAGTTGAAGTTAGAAAATATTGTATAGCATTTTATATAAGTACACGTCTGCATAAGAACGGAAACTGAGCGTAAACGTACCTGACACACTGATGAGCTATACTTTAATTTCCAATTTAACTGGTTCTATACCCATAGCCATGCACTAGAAAAGTTATCTGAGAATATAAGAATTCAGAATGCATGCAGAAGCAGAAATAAATGCCACTGTTGTCTACACCACGTGGCAACACCACCGCACAGGAACTGTCAGATTTTTTTGCCACATATTCAGAGAAAATTCAAAACTTAACGCTGCCAGAATTTATTCAGGAAACAGTATTTCATGTTCTTTCAAATGCTTTTTAATGAAGAAGTCAAGCTAAAAAGAAATGTTTTTTTAGAAGACAAGGAATAGCTCTGCTGAAGGGGAATTACCGGCCACAACAACTTTATAAGCACGAAAAATATGGAAAAAAGTAACCTGAGAGAAATTGTATTTAAGTATGATTGAAGACTATTAATTAGCTTATATGGAAGAAATTAATTCAAGAAAACAAATATTGTTATATACTCTTCATTAGCGTAATACCCTTTTTAATTCACTTGACAAGTACAGTACGTTGTCTATTGCTGAGATCATCAGTAACATAAAAACAGAAAACACTACTCAAAAACAAACTGGTATCCCTCTAGAAAATTACTCACTCAATAGAATATTCCTTGCCTGGTAACACTAGTCTGGCAAAGAAAGAACTGTCGGGATTTCAGGTATCTGAGAAAACACAGATGAACCTGTTTTGTTCAACTTCCACAGATCTCTGTCCCTTTCCCCCCCAAAACAGGCAGGACACTGCCTGGGGAGCTGGGGTTTCTCTGAGGAAAAGGTAAGTCAGCCAGAGCCCGCTTTTTCGGAGCAGCTGAGACGCCGCTGTCCCAAGCAACTTCAGTAGGAGCCAAGACCGGCTGAAGTCCTCAATGTCTTGGCATCCCCGCTGTCCTGACTGGCAAATACGGTACCTGCCTGATTGCAAAGCGGGTTTAGATCCTTAAGAACATCCTCTGATAGCAGTACATCCTTCTACCGTCATTTTGGACGCCTGCCAGTATTTACTTTAGTACAACTGCAGACAGCTTGCACAGAAAGGAAACCAGGAAACACAAAATTAAATACGTGTGTTTCAGGAAGGAATTGCTTCGCCCCCTACCCTTTGCTATTTTGACCTTTCAGACACTTGCTGAGAGCCAGCTTTGTTGATTTTACACTACTGTATCTTGCGCTACGATCCTGTACAAATACAAAACCTCCCGTGAAAAGAGCAGTTAAGGAATGCAAACACTTCATTCCCTTTCCCTTTGCAGACAAGGGAGCACTTATAAATAGTCACCTCGCCAGAGCAGGGTATTGGATAACTGTGTGGCAGACCACGTCTTGATGGCAATGACAAATTATTCAGCTTTTTACCGCTGTTCCTGGTGAACACCTTGCATCACCTGTGAGTTTCACCAGGAGGTAACACCGGTGCCAGCAGCCGCGAACTGACGGAGACCGAAGGCAGAGTACCCAACCCGCGCAACCCCGCCACCAGAGCTCTGCCTCTCCA